ACTCAAGAGCTTCTTTATGAACTTTAAAGAGATAATTAATCAAAGCTAATCGGACGATGAGCTCTAACGAAGAGGGCGATACGACACTTCAAATTAATCGTCGTTTCACTTAATAATACATGTCCTTTATTTTGAAAATCAATAATTTTCAGCCCTTCATTTTTATTATTTATACGTTAAATTTAATTTTAGATACTCACAATTTTAAATATTTTCTATTACAGGAGTGCTAATCGATCGGCCCCCATTCAATAGCTTTAAAAAAGTATTGTATTAAACTGCAACAACACGGTATTTTTTTTTATTTTTTTTTTTATTTTTTTTTTATTTTAAAAAAATTTAGCAATTACAAACACAAAGCTGGAATATTTCTTCAAACAAAAAAAGGCAAAGAAAAAGAAAAAAGAAAAAAAAAAACAAAAAACATAAAACATAAAACATAAAACAAAAAAACTGGCGAGTGAGAACTGCAATTGGTAAGTTACGAGTAATGGGCCGCGACGTGCGCAAATAGCCAAATGGCTAATATTCGTTAAGAGGAATAATATCGCGAATATTATCGAATATTATAATTACAATTGTAACTGACACATTTAGTATATAAATGTGGAATTACAGATTACAGGTGACGTGATGTGCTGCTGGCTCGGTATTGTATTTCAAAGTGCCATAGTGTAAATTACAGTTGGCCGAATTACAGTGGGAATGGGTCGGAGAATGAAATCCTCATTGGGAGTTATTCTGTAGTAAGCCGATTTTCAATAATCGATGTTGCATTTACTCGCTGCATTGTAAGGCCAACTCGTATTTTACGTTAAGGCGAATATCTCCTGAGCGGCGAAATCGTATCTTATCCATGTGATCGTAAAAACTGTCATGGAAAAGGGCATGAGTTATTGTTGATAGGAGAGGATGGCGTGGCCAAGGCGGTCGCGAGTGCATCTTTAACGATATCCCGTTCGTTTTCCAAGTCTTAGCAGGCGTCTTAGAAATCCCCAATAGAGTGTTATCGCGATACGCGATACGCGGCGCGATGGTAGCGAGTACAGAGGAGAAAAGAGGCTGGATAGCGCGAGATTGACGCTACATTATTTAGCGCGGCTTATCCGAGCAAAAGAAAGCCCGCGCAGATAAGTGGGCAAGCGTAGCTCGCGAATCCGCTCAGCTACCGCGAACGCACGAGGTGAGGCGTAATTATCTTATCTTATGGAGACGTTAATGTTCGTTTCGAATGGGCGAGGATGCTGTGCTACGGGAGCCCCCTTGATTGGCATCAGTACGGTGGGGAGAGGACGCGCGGGCGCGTGTATGCGTGTGCGTGCGCGATGAAGGGATGGAGGCAAAGAGCATTTTTTGCGGGAGAGGCAGATTTATCGTCTCTCGAGCGTTCGCGCGAGCGAAAAACCGGCATCGGGTCTTCGGACGCGGCCGCGAAGAAAAAAAGCCACGAGAGAGATCGATACGCCAAATCAGATACTTCCCGAGGATTCCTCCCATTTTTGTTTCTTCAACTGCAGAGGCGCTTTTTCATCCCCGGCACTATCCGCTACCATCTGCCTCTCGGCGTAGAAGAAAAAAAGAGAGGCTTAATTGTTCACCGCCTACACTCGCGCTTAATGGCCAACCATCAATAAAAGCAAATCAAGTGGCAGGATCTCCTCAAAAATTGCGTCCCTACGCTCATCAGCTGCGCCTCATTTTTCATTGCGAGCGCGTGTAAGCGCTAACGCAGGAAGCCGCTCACATATTCGTCCTTTTTTCTTTACCAGTGTCCCCTTTATAGCCAATTCGTCCCCCCTACCTACCTTCATCGTCGCCTCCTTTCAGCGTCATTCGAGCGAGGTGTTAAATTTCAAACGAGTACTCGAGCGACTCGTTCAATTCGCGCGTAAAAATGAATCTCGCGCAAAATAAGCGCAAAAGCAGGCTCGGCGAGAAATCTATCTACATAAGCGCGTGCTTGCGCGCCCGCTCACGCACGCACGCACGCACAAACTTATATGTATATATATATATATGGGCCATGCATTTATACAAGTACATGCTGACAGACAGACAGACAGACAGACAGAGAGAGAGAGAGAGAGAGAGAGCGTATGACTGGCAACGTTCTTCTTCAGCGGCCCACTGCCGCCCAATCGAGCGTACGTATTTTCCAATCTCGGCGGTCCAATAAAGGAGAACGAAAGTCAGATTACGGGCCGTCCGGAGCGACGTGCAGAATCGACGTCGGCATCGGCGCGAAAGAAAGCGAGCAAAAGAAGAGGACGAGATGCGCGGCCGGCACTTACCGGCAAAAGTGGCCCCCAGAAGATAAAGCCCGGACTAATGCAAAGCGATAAAGGGGCCAGGGCGGGAGGGGCGGAAGGGGCTAGTCTCTCGGCCCCCAAGCCGAGGCTCTGCTCTGTCCGCTCTTGCTCTCGAGCCCCGGACGAAGATAAATGACATAATATCGTGAGGGAGCGCGAGGCTGGCACTCGCCGGGATCATTGCCGGGGAAGACGAAATCAAGTGGTGCGAGCGAGCGAAAGGCGCCGGCCGATCGATCGATCGACGCCCGACGACAATGAGATCAGCGTCGATCCGAGAGCGAGAACCCGAGATTGCTTTACACCTCCCGTCGTTTCTATAATCAAATTCCTCGTCGGCCCCAATCCTGCGCCCCGCTCGCTCGCGTGGCAAAATAAATTTTTATCGCCGCTAAAGCTGCTCCCGCGATTGACCTGTGGCTTCGTCCGTTGAAGCGCGAGACCTCTCCCGCCCCGCCCCTCGCACCCTCGTCGACCCACTCCCCCTGACACTCCGCCCTCCACCGCGCAAACACACAGGCACGCACGCACGGATTCACGCACGCCGGGAGAGAGAGGGAGAGAGGGAGAGAGGGAGGGAGAGAGAGAGAGAGAGAGAGAGAGAGAGAGAGACCGTACTCGATAAGCACCACCGACCCACGCGACCCCGGTAAGCCTCTTACTGGTGCTACATCGCTTCGAGTGCTATCGAGCTGCAATCCGTATTAATGAAATTCTCGCTAAGACGGCCGCAATCACCGTGCACTCTCGTCCGAGTTATTAATGGAATGCTTGATCAGCGCCATCCTGCCGTTGGCGTTTTAATTAACGGTCGGTGGTAGGGAAAAAGCCCCCGAGCAACGAAGCCACTCGCCGAAATTCACCTTGAATCGCATCGACCGGCGCCTCGCCTCTCACCTCCGTCCATCCCGAGCGACGCCAATAGTCGAGTGTCCGGGACCCTGAGACGGCGACCTTACTCTACCGCGTGATGAGAGCCGAGAGTTCGACATTTCTTAGGCTACACTCGCGGTCCGCGTTCGCTATTCGTGTCGCGGCACTTTTTATTTGCATAATCCGGCTTTGAACAATCGCGATAAGCGCACGCGGAGACGAGCCAAGGGAATTTCTTGACTGGATGTCGGGGCATTAGTGTCTAATCGAGAAGCTTTATCACGCGTGAGCGCGAATTCGTGAGCTCGAGATGTGGGAAACGCGGAGGATGAGAATGACAAGGGGAATTAGAAGATGATGAGAACGACGACGTCTTTTTAATTCGAAAGCTCTTCGGGTTATTCTTGGCAGCCGATGACCAACCTGCACTTTACCTGCGAATTATGAATTTCTACGCCTACTGTTAAGGAATACTCGCAGAACTAGTGGCAAACTAGAGTGATGAGGAGGTGCGGGGAAGAGGGAGATTGGGGGGGGGGTGTCGCTGTGACATGACATACGTGACCGATGCTAGAGACATTTTTTCGATACGACCGGCTACACATCCCACACTCCCAAACGCGACGTATACTCTCTCACCACTCAGCCCTTTTTCAGCTTTTTCAGCCCATTAGGGTACGAACCCACTCGGATGTACCATCCACAGCTCCGTCTCACCGATATGATGCTTATCACCGATGCGATTGAGCATTTGCGCAGCATTCATTCCGACTATTTTATAATTTTTTTAACCCAGTGTGTTTGCGTGCCTATTGTTAAAGTAGCACTCGGCCAGCCTAACCTGCCTCAATCCCAACCGCTCTCCACTTATTTATGCATGCAATCGACTTGTCGGCGATCAAATCATTATTATGAAGTAATGACGACGAAATTTGATGAAAGCTGCACTTCACTGGCTTCTTCCCCTAGTTTTTTTCAGCTTTGGCCAATTCATTCGATAAACTTTCATTGGGCTAACCATCTAACGGATGAGCCTAAGCTACAGGAAGCAAGATCAAGTCCTATAATTGCGAATGACAGCAGGATAATGCGAGCTATCAAGGTCAGTATCATACACCTACTAAATGGATAGTGATTATCTCGAATCGATATCTTTAACAATAGCTTCGCTAATAGTTTATCAAGAGACTCAAACACCCGACAACGGCAAGAGAGTACTAGCTTTAAAAAAAAAATCTCGCATTTATGATTAACCATTGTCATGTTGTATCTGTTGTTAGTATATGTCCTGCCGATCATTTGGAAATTTAATAAAGAGGCACTTTGATGTTGTATCGAGTGTCAGGTGGTGAAGCTAACAGGCCAGTTTTTGGCAAGAGAGCGAGCTGAAGTAAAGTGGCGATGGGCTTTATGAGAAACGAAATCAAAAAGATAATGTATGTCAGCCAGTTAGCCAGCCCGCTAGCCTTAGCTTAGCTAATTTATTTAACAATTAGCAGTAAATAAATGAATGATAAATAATGTTTTTATTTGAAAGTAGCAGATTCGAAGTTTTGGACAATAAATTGGTTTCTCATTAATCTATCTTCACTATAATATGAATATTCTAATCTCGTACATCATTACTTGAACCAATATATCAATTGAAAATCTTAATTAACAATATTTTGCCAGAAATTATAATCCGTTTGAAATTGATAAGTATGTATGATAAAATAATGTTTTCTTTTTTGTTTTGTTCTGAATTAGAGTCACCGTTAGGATTATAGGTCGAGGTTGCTGTACACATTAATAATAGCGAAGCGAAAAATAACTTACGTATGATCCTTTAGTACAGTCTCGAGTTTATTCGTTGTCACTGACCATATGTAGACCGAACCATCGGAAGAACCAACGGCTACGTACTGCCCATCTGGACTGAAAGTCGCTCTTGCCCAATCGCATCCCACTTTAAAGCCATCCGCACTGTAAATAGGTTCGATCAATAAGCAAGCTTTAACCTTTATTTGTTAAATTTTAAATCGTCCAATCTGCGTGGCGAATGTTTAATCGGGAAATATGACATAGTTGTTGGACGTTTCAAATAAAAAAAAAAAAAAAAAAAGTAGTTCAAGCTTTAAAATTATTACTTTTAAAGGAGGAAATCCTTCGAAAGCACAAGAATAATAGTGAAATATAATATAATTTCAGGCACCTTGGTTTATATATAATTTATTATTTGAAATAATCTTTTTCATTAATTCCTTAATAATAATAAATAACGCTAACAGAAGTTCGAAATGAAGATTCTATTTATAAATTTAAAAATCGCTTGCCTCCTCGCAAATTTTTATATTCTTTACTTTTAAAGTTTCATTTAATAATATTAAGTAAGCACACCAAGTTTAACTACTCAATCTTTATTAGTTTCTAATTTATAGTAATAACGTAAATTACGAAGAGAAGAAATATGTATGTGTGCATGCGATTTATTGGCTTACTTTCTGTATTAAAAACTGATGGACCAGCTATGCAAAAAATAAGCAATTTTTCTTTTAAAATACATTTTTCCGTTTCATTAGCACTAAAATTAAATTTGCTTAAGCCCGAAAGACTACTTATTCATTTTTAATATATATATATGAGTGTATATGTGTGTGTGTGCGTGTATGTGTGTGTGTGTGTGTGTGTGTGTGTGTTTGTGTGTGTATATTCATGTGCCAACACACACACACACACACACGCACATATACATTTACATTATTAAATATAATTTTAATGATATTATTATGCACTAAAATCTAAGGATAAAAGAAAATATCAGCAAGTATATAATGCCCAAACAATTGTTATAAAATCAGAACAAATGTCTATTTTTTGACCAATTAAAATTAAAAACAACAATTTATGTAATATTATCTATATTTATGTAATTTTTTAATAAGGTTATATCGTCTTTAAGGAAATTCATGGACCTTATTTCATTCTAAGTAAACGATGTATCTTATAAATTTAGAATAATTTTATAAATATTCTTTAATAGTTTTCGAAAATATATTAACGTTATAAAAATTAGCATCAAATATCATCTGATTAAATTCGAAATCTCATTAACTTTAAGTCATTATCGACCGCACGTGTAGTTACTCGCACGTTTAATTACGCATATTAATTTGCGACGCACACATTCATATTGTAAATCTATATTTCTTGATTAAATAATTTTTAAAAATATCGAAACCAATAGGACATCCATTTATTGATAGACGGCTAATTTATGCATTTTAACTCAATTTACAAATAATTTGTTTTGATAATGAAAAATCTTGAAGGAAAATTGTACAGGGGCTTCGAAAAATACGTTATATACATTTAAATTATAAATGCTCAATGCTCGTTACATTAGATGAAAATTGTCATGGAATTTTTAATTAAATTCTATTTGTCTTGTTGTTGTTTTTTTCTGTGTCAAATCCAATAGCTTGATTGACAATTACAATTTGCAATCAATCGAATGTTATATTGCCGTTTTGTTGGCCTTCTTACATAAATGGTTGTTTTCAATTAAACAGTATTTGTGACTTTGAAATTTACACAGCATAAACTATGTATTTTTCAATGAAAATCCTGTTACAATATTAAAAAATAATGTCAATTTATTTATATATTAATACTTTTGAGTCCCGAAGAGACAGACATATTTGGCGAATGAATATGGGAAAACTAAGTTACGAGAAACTGCACAATTAGGGTAGATTATTGGAATAATAATAATAATAATAATAATAATAATAATAATAATAAATAATAATAATAAATAATAATAAGAATTAATCATTAATAATAATATTCTTCATTTGTGGAATAGTTAAAGGTCAGATATGAATGAAATATAAATATAAAAAGAAATTTGAATTTTGCCTTTGTATTATTATCATATGCTTAAGAAAGCTTTCAAATATATATTTTGTCGACTATTCGTAGTAGTTCTCTGATTACATTAAATCGCATTTTAAATTTGCCACTTTCAACATAAATATATACAAAGATTAATTGCATATTCGCAATTAAAATGAAATAAGGTTTATTTAATTAGGTGAAATCGATGAAGGAAAGAATATTTGCGCAGGCCACAGAGTATATTTTGTGATGAATCATTGATAGGATAAAGATATATTAGCAATTTACCTAAAGGACATAACGATAAGTTTCATCCGTAGGTCGAGGAGCTTTAAAGTATCGTCTCTTACGCAGCTTAGGAGATAGTAGGCATCTGTAAATAAAAAGTAAAAAGAAATAATTTGTTTGATAGAAAGAAAGTATTAGTATTGTATTAAAACGCATTTTTGGCTTTACAATAACAATTATTTTTCTCCCGTAAGTTATGGCTTCTTTAAAGTACACTTGATTACTGTCGAAACGAGTATATATATATATATATATATATATATATATATATATACACACACATATATATATACATGTATATATAAAGAAAATAATGAAAGTAACCGAAACGAAAACGTATCGAGTTTCTATTCGGTAATGGTGCAAAGCTGTGGCTTTCAAAGTCTTCGCGTCGTTCATTGTTTGCTCATTATTGATAGAAGAATGTAAGATCCGTTTTTTTTCTTCTCTATTTTATTATTATTTTTTATTTTTCAGCTGTAGAGAGGTAGGTTACACGGTTGATAATATATTTTTATTAGAGAGTCACTCGGTTGTGCAAAGTAATATAAAAGACATGCTTTATATTTTTTCGTTATTTACTTTCTATTCATAGTGATTTTACATAATTTTCTAAATTATTTATACTATACATTATCTATTATATTTTAAATAAAATATCCTCGTTAAATGGCACATGGCTGTAGAGTATAAGTTTCATTAAAATTTTATTGAAAATGCATTCTTTTTTTACGATTAATATACGTTTTCTCAAGTTTATCGAGTGAAAATTTTGTGCACGAAGCAGGAATTACGCATAATAATAAAATCACAATTTCATTCGTATCGATGCTCAAATGCAAATGAACAAACCTCGAGACAAGTCAAGTGATGTAATTTTTCCTTGAAGAAGGATGTCGCTCGATCCAGATTCCGTTCTGGTATCCCAGAACCTGATTGTTTTATCAAAATGGCCGCTTATTATTGTCGAACCCGAGCCATCGGAAGTGACGAGGTCATTGCAACTTGAGCCAGTAAATTTTGTCTCGACACCTACAATATAATTGAGTAATTTAATTTCACCACAACTTTTTCATGGCAGGTATATATATATATATATATATATGTGCGTGCGTGCGTGTGTGTGTGTTAAAGTGAAAAATTAATTTTGTGTTAAAAATCCAATTTTTATTAAATTATTTTAGGTAAAAGTATCGATATATGATGTATTATTGTTTTTATCGTTTTTTTCGTCATTATTACTAAGAGTTTTAGCCAGATATTAGAAAATAAAAAGAAAGAAGATATCGGATAGTATGATTTAATTGGATCAATTAAATTCTATCTTTGATAAAATAGAAAATTTGTAAGTGTAATTAATTCTCATTGATCCTTAAATATAAAGTTTTCATAAAATACTTATATTTGCATTAAAATACAATGTATTTTAAGTTCGTGAATATTTTTAAAACATAACTGAAATACGCTTTTGAAGGCGAGAAAAGAATGTAAAATGACATTAGCGTGAGTGAATTTATATTTTTGAAAACGTACTGGTTTAAGGAAAAGTCATGGTTTGAAAAGTAAAGAACATATGATTAAATTTTATTATCGTAAGTATTTTCCACTTTTTGTTACACTTGTTATAAAATTAAATTGATAAATATATGTATGTTTATAAATAAAGTATAATATAAATACAATAATCAGTATAATAAATCAGTTTATCGTATCGGAATATGAATAATAACAATAACAATGCTAATATCAGCAGTAACATGTGAATATATAAAACTGTAATGCTAATAGTTACAGTTAACTTTTCAATTATAACGTCGAAGTGTCATTTTATTTTCGATTTAAAAAGTCTAATAAATGAACGATTAGTTATCATAATCAGATTAATCCGAGTACCAGGTACGCTTTTTTTACATTGAATACTGTAGGTTCTGGAGAAAGCATTTAAAAAACTTTTATCAATATATTCAGGATGCAGGAGTATTAATAATTTAGCATTTGTTTGAAAGTTTTTACAAATCGTATTGATTGAAATGCATCCTGAAAGAATTAATATTGTAATTTCATGAAAGTATCGGGCTTGCTCCTCTATTTATTCAGGACCATTCGATATGCCTCATCAATATTTATTGGGAAAATAGAAAAACAGTCAGTGTACAATTAATGTCGGTCGACTCTCATTAAATCTTCCTAGGTAATTCGACATTTTTTACAAGCAATAGATCATCCGTATGGACCACTTAATCCCTGTATTGGCAGCCACACCTTATCCTACATTATTTAACGGATGGGAAAAATATTTCGAATCTCAGGAGTGTCTGACCGGCTCCGTCAAAGGCTCGAGAGTCCAAAACTCCTCAACTTACTCGAGCCACGAGCCAGCAAATGTTTTACATCGTCGGTTCTGGTTAACCCTATCGCGGGTCACCGAAGATTAATCATTCATAAATCCTAAGCCTTTCTAAGCCCCTCGCCGATATTCCGCATCGGGTACATTCTGTTCGGGCTCACTTCCTCCTCCACCCGAATCCCTCCCGCTCAACCCAACTCTGGCCGTTTGAATTCAAGCGCGGCCGACGATAGGCGCCGACTTCGCGGGAAGCTCCGGGGGCGCGCGTCCACAGCGACGATTTAAAGCAGCGGAGGTAAGACGCGCATGCGGAAATGGGACCGCGGCCGTCGTAAAGCCGCTAAATTACTGGCCTCGCGCACACCGAGAGGCCCCCGTGCATCGTGCCACCCGCTCCCAGACCAAGCGAAGCGCGGCCCCGATTGGCCCGGGACTCCGTTAATCGCCTTTCGCCAGGGGACCCGGTGAAGCTCACCCCGTGGTGGTCGATTCCTGTTAAAAGTGCGGGGGCTTTATATCGGAGCGGGAGTACGCGAGTTGGAGGAGACGAGGCGCCTAGTGGTGGTCGAGCGTGCCAACCGTCCGAGTGGGAACGCGCTTGTTTAATAAAGTGAGCGCGTCACGGGACCGCTATTAAGGAGCCAGGAGTATGGAGTCGGAGTAGGAGTAGGTGGGAGTGAGGGGTGGAGAGTTACGGTGGGTGGGATGGTGGACTTGGAATATTTATCGATGCATCGTAGGCGATTTTCTCGGCGACGAGGGCACTTGACGGGAAATGGAGGCTGCCGATCAAATTAGTCCCTGTCGCCGATATCGTTATATTACACAATGTTGTTATGCCGTGGGAAAATAGTTGAGGCCCCGGCTGCTGGTTAGGTGGATGAAACGCTTGTCACTTAGCCGCGCGCTCCCAGTATATTTATACATGTCGCGCGTCCTCGGGAATTGGAAGCGGAAGGGGCATGGGGATCGATTTCTATTATTCAGCGGGTACCGTTAGGAAGTTCAATTGGTCCCCGGGTTACAAGACTACGAGATGGCGCTTCCCGGAAAAGTACGTGGCGCTGAAACGACGCGGGTACGCGAAGCGCGCGAGACTTTGTCCGGCAGTGAAATTTTTCACGAACGCCACGGCCGCGCGGAGAAGGCGGAGGAGCAGGAGGAGTAAGAGGAGAAGGGCGCTGACGGAGGAGGAGGAGGAGGAGGTTGGTC